TTGCAATGAAAACGCCTTCAATGATTTGAAACCCTCAGTTATCCAAAATTCTCCCCTTCTCCCCCATTATGTTCAGATAATTGAGGCTGTGTGGAGCACACTTGCAGCCAGTTAGAAGAACGAGCATTATCTTTCAGCTGATACAACTATCAATAGCAAGTGTACAGCATATACTACAAAGGCTTTATTGTGCATATGTAGGGAGATAGAGATGAGATATGGTTCTGAGAGGCAGTTTGTCTAGTGGTTACAGTACAGAGTTGGGTGTCATGAGACCGAAGTTTTAATTACTACCTCTGCTACTGACTCTGTTACTCAGATAAACCGCTCACTGTCTCTGCATGCCAGCATCTCACCCCGCAAAAAAAGGGCACTGTGAGAATTACCCACCTTTGTCAAGCACTTTGATATCCTTAGATAAACAGCTTTTTATGTGTAACTGCCGAGTATTACTGTCCATTTAATTGCATTTTTAAAACTCCTTGGAAAGAAAGGACTGAAAAACAATAGCCACAAACATTTGAGAAGCATAACTTCGGTTGCCAGAGACTGGCACAGAGCTCAGCAGAGATGTGTTGATTTAAATCAAGGCAGACCTGGCCCTTTAAACACAGTTTGCCAAACGTGACGTGACCAGTATGAACAAGCTGTACCTGTGCTAGGTACAAACCACCCAATGCAGACTCATACTTACTGCTGCAGAAAATCTTTATGCCTTACCACAAACCGGTACCGGTACTTGGTATTTGAACAAGAACAATACAGATTTCATTAAAGCAATAATCTGTTTGTGCTCAGTATGCTCTGAACAAAGTCATTTTGTCTAGAGAGTCCCAAAACTTTCCGCATAGGAGCATCGGCATCAGTGTGTGTCCTCCCCGCGGGTGAAGCCAAGCGACGTGCAGCACATCGCACGCCGGCACCAGGAAAGGTGCCAGGCTCAAAAAGCACATCTTAAAACATGGTACCACTAATGCTTCCACCACACAAAATGCACAAAGATAATGGAAAATAAAGGTCCTCGAATAATGATAAACCTCCTGACTGCAGGTGAGGGACTACACAAGCTGCACGCACAGCACACCTGGACATGGTGCAGACATTTGTAACTACCATCCACCAAAACCCCTTAAGAGCAGGCAGAACACGACCCTGCGAGGTAAGGAGAAGGCACCTGCTGCTCTGCTATCTTTCTACTTTGTCTTATAAGCATCTGAAATTCTGTTTCAAGGCTTTTCCATGCGGCGATTTCTGTAAATCGCCCTTCTCCGCTGGAGTGCTGAGGTGAGGGGGAAAAATCCTGTGCTCACTTAAAGCCTTTTATTTCTCTTGTAACATGGACATCTCAGAGAGCAGATTAGCCAAAGAAGAAAAAAATAAAAAGCAAATGGAATACTGTGACCTAATCCTTCCTCTCAGAAAAAGAAAGGGGAAAGAAAGCCTCTTGTGATCTCCAAGGAGGAACTTGCCTTGTAAACTAGTCTCCTGTTTGAAACGGAAACAAGAATGTGAATCCTGATACAGAGAGGCTACCAAAGGCAGGGAACAGCTTACCAGGCCGTAGATTTTCCCTTTCAGTGCAATACAGGGTATTACACAGGTCCTGCCTACGTTAGAAAAACAGGCAGCGAAAACTTAACAGGTTGTAAGATCCTTTGGCCACAAAGACATCCAAATGCAGTTCTTTTCATACACTAGGCAGGAGCACAATCTGTGTCCAAGTTTATAAACTGTGCACTTGTAGTTTATTAAAAGGATTCTGTTACTGGCTCCTCTCTCTTCAGTTATTGTATCCAACGCCCGTGACATGCAGTTACAGCCCTCTCAAGACTGCCCCTCCATAAAACTAGGAATGCTGCCCCTTCCCCCTCCTCCGCTTAGGGAATGGGGGCAATCAGCATTAGAGTAACTAAATATTTGAAGAAGAGATCCATTTTTACTGGCAAACATTATTTGGAATAAAAGTTTGCACTTCCTCAAGTGCTCAGATAAAAGGGGATGAAGGCACACTGGTTGCCACTGTCCTCCTCTTCTCAGATAAGAAAGCTGAGATCTGGGGTAAGCTCATGGTAAAACTGAGAACAACTCCCTAAACTCTTGATTTCAACCCCAACCTCCAGACCTCTTTGTGTCATCAAAGGCAGACAATTGGCCTGTTGAGCCCAGTCTCTTCTCTCCAGCTTCAGTCAGCCAGATCACTCCTAATGGCCAATCTCTGAGACAAATTTAACTTCCCCCCTTGCATGCAAATGCCCATGACTAGGCTACTTGCTCCCTCCATATTTGATTACCTAGAAACACTCGAAGAGGTGAGGTTTTTTGAAATGTCACTGAACTTCTCACTCCATTCTCAAGAGAACTTCAAATGTGCTCTGAGCACCATGGTGGCATCACTTCTGCTCCCTCTGAGCAGAGGATCTGAGCACCACTGGCTCTGACACATGGACACAACTGGCACAAAAAGCTTCCAGGAATGCTCACATATTTGTGTGGGTTTTTTTACCCTCCAGAAGCACAAACACCAGTGAAAACCTGAATGGCCAGGAACATATGGAAACAGAATGTCACTGTGGCAAGAGCTAATTCATCTTTTAAATTCCAGGTAATATCTTCAGACTTCTTTTTTTGGCATCATTCTCCAGCTCCTATCCAAGTATCTGATGTCCATGGCTTCCTAAAACATGGTGGCAGATGCCATTCTGATAGGAAAACAGAAATTCCTTCCTGACCCAGCAGATTACATCATGCCTCTGAAATGCAAGATCAAATCCAATCCAGCTACCTCTCCATCTCCAGACTGCCTATCAATTAGCATTAGACACTAATTTGATTAAATTGGTATGTTGAAATTTTATTTGATTCCACCTAAGGAGTGCAATTCCCCCTGCGTGTTCTCTGTAACCCACTAATTTTCCAATGGAATGGGAAACACAGGTTGGGATTTGGAGGCTATTTCTTCTACTTGTTAACATGTGAGCTTAAAACCGCAGTAAAAAATACATCCATGCAACTTCGTAGAATGAGACTTGCCAGTTTAAGAGAAAACGGCTTTTTACAGAATAACCCAGATGGAGGAAAAAAGTATACATTTAACTCTGAAACCTGAAGTGTTCTTTGAGGGAAAACGAATACATTTTAGCCTTAAAGGGATCACAGACTGCAATTATATAATTCTTGTCAACTGATGTTAAAGATAGGCTGGAAAGAATGTATGCTGAGGCCCTGCAATAAAACGAGCTCCTTTACTCCTTTCAAATGTTTGCAAGCCTTGGAGGTTATCCAAAGGTCGAATACAGGAAAAGTCTTGGTGAACAGAAAACATAATCATGAGCTTTTTTAATACGGGCTCTTTTTGTAATAAAATAAAATTATGGTAAGAGAAGGGAGGGCGGGCTCTGTCTTCTCAGATCTAGGGCCAGGGGGGCTGAGTTTTAATCAGACGCTGCTGTTCTCCCCTCCTCTCTCCTCCCCAGCCTGTCACTGCACAGAGAGAAAACAGTGGAGGGCACTGGGTGCGCTGCAGAGGGGCAAAGACCCAAGCCTGGCACTGAAATCCCTTGACTTTCTGGAAGACAACAACATGTTTCCCAAGAGGGAGATGGAGAAGGGTCTTCATTGCCAGCCAGCTCACACAGGGCAGCAGCAGATCCCCAACACCCTCCCCTCCCAGGGTCTGTTGGGAGAAGAGCTCCATGGTGGAGCTGTTACCAGTGTGCTGCTGCTTCTGGGGTGTACCAGGACAAATGGCACATTTCCCATAAAAACACCCCTGGAAGCTGCAAGTAAGGTATATGGAGGATATCACATCCAGTTGGGACTTTGGGGCAGAATCCAGGGCTGCAGTCTTTACTCTTTCCAAAAGTGCTACGGCTTCCCTTGTGACCATCTGCAGTCAGGGAGCTGCTTTCTGTTTCACCTGGAATACTTGGTGGCACCACCTGGTCACCCACCTGGGCTGCAGCCACAAGTCATACACAAGCACTTGCATCACCACCCACATTTAGTTGAGAAATTTTCTGTCCAGCTGCGGATTTGACCCCATCTCCACAGTCTGCTGAACACAAGACTGGAGCAGCAAACCATGAAGTATCTAGAAGGAATTAATGAAGTGGACATTTGCTGAAAGCATCAGACACTTCTGAGTTGTGATCATCCTTCATCAGAAAACCTGGGAGACACGCACCAAGAATGGCTTTGTTCTAATCCCATACTCTCTGTAACACTTTATCACCGCTTACCTCTTATGGTGACTGCTCCATCATCCAACTCTTAGTACAACTCTTACTTATCTGTAGTTCACAGGCTGAGAAAACAATTTTACAACAAACTATAGTTTTTCCTCTCAAAAATCAGAAACCTGATTTAATGATCCATCTGCACTGCCTGGGAAACGCACTCATGCTGACAAGTCCACCACTGTTTTGAAAATGTTTATTCCTGTTTCTTGAACTTCTTCTGGATTTCCTTTGTCTGGCATTTCACCATTATCAGTATGTATGGAAAGACCTTTCCCATTCCCTACTTCATATGAATAAGGGTAGGGAAGGGAGGGGAGAAGAAAAAAAAGGAACATACCTACCATTCCCATCTAGGCAAGAAACAAACTTCAGAGCTGGAGCAATCTGTATAGACTGGTAAATGTACCTGCTCTGTTATGATGTGAAACTAATTCACATTAGCAGTGCTCCCATAGACCATCTCTTAGCCTGCAAGCATGAAAACTTGACCCCATATTTAAAGTAAATTTAAGCCTTGGGGCTGTCCTGTGCAGGGCCAGGAGTTGTACTTTGATGAACCTAGTGGGTCACTTCCAACTCAGGATATTCTATAATTCTATGAAAATATTTCTTTTTACTTTAATTTCACACCAGCAGCATGTTTTCTGATATGAACAGCTCATCTTTGAGGAAGGTATGCAGAGCTGCCATTTCACAAAACCAGGAGACAGAGCTTCGAAAGACCCTGAACACTACTGCATGCAGAACATGCCATATATTTATTTTTAATAGTATAGTCAGTCACAAAAGAGATGTGATTGGTAGCCCTATTGTGTTCCAGGAGTGGTCACAGTGTCAGGGTACCAGGCCCCCCATTAGGAGGTATGACCCAGACACCACCTCTTCTTGGTTTCATTTCACCTCTCCCTCTTTCACCCAATCGTCCTCCTGCTGAGTGGCGTTCCTTGGCTTTATCCACATGCTCTTCCTCTTCCCTTTGAGCTGAAAAGCCAAGAGAATAAACACATGAACACTGGAAAAGTCACTAGAAAGTAAGTTGATGATTTTCGAAATAAAAGTCCCTGTTCACAGGCTGATTTAGAGAATTGTTTTGGCATGTGCCTCAATCCAGGTGATCTCCACAAGACATGAAAACACACCAAAACTCAAACAGATATTGAAGAGTTCTTCCTGAGTGAAGCCACTTGCCCAAACTAGGGGATAAGTTAAAAGAAGACAACCTACAGAAATTCCATGTGCTCAGGACAGCTCTGAGGCCCAGGAAACCGGGATAGCAGTAACCTGACCCTGCACACCAGAATGAAATCAGAGCCTGGGGAGATGGGATCCAGATTTTCCTGAGAGCAGAAGGTGGACGCTCAGTGGTGCTGCAGGCAGGCAGCTCTTCAAACGAGCTCTGCACATGGGAACAAACATGTCCAAAGGCCTCACACCCAACGGGAAGCTGCTGGGTGCCGAACGCAGCTGAAACTCTGGTGCTCAGAGTGGGCACAGGGCCCTGGCAAATCCGACTTCCAGCCCTGCTGAAAATCTGTCACCACATCGTCAATGTTAAAAGACAGGTTTTTCAAATGGGAAAAGTGAGTTTATCACCCTCAGCAAACTCATGAACAACACAAGGCATAATTGCTCAAACGTCAAATAAAAATTCTTGTCTGAGTAAACACCACGCGTGGACCTTTTTTGATCCCCAAATATGAATGCTTTAGAACAGGATGAGCATGTGGCCAGCGGGGTTGGAATGGAGAGTGCTTTGTAACCTTAACTATACCAGGCGTGATAAAGTGCCCGCTATCAAGAAAAAAAGTTCATCTAAAAGACAGAGGGAAACCAGATGGGAAAAGAGCAGAAACTCTCAGTAGGAATTTCAGGGATTTTTTTTTTTTTTTTCCAAAACAAAGATCCCAAAGAGCTCTCTAGGCTAAGCAGAAAGGTGGTCCCATCCACCTGAGGCATTCTGAGGGCAAGACTGAAAGGTCAGGGTTAGCTTCTGTGCTGGAGCTGCAGCCTCCCATGGCATCAGGATCTGTGAGCCCACCCCACAGGAGCATGTGCCCCCAGCCCCTCCACCCCAGTGAGCACCCAGGGCTGCAGGTACCTACCTCAGCTATTGCTGCCTGCAACACCTTGGCTACTTCTGATACTGCAATTCTTTCTGCTGCCCGGGCAAATGCTTCAGCATCTCTTCCTGCTTCTGGTTTTTCTGTTGCTTCCACCATTGTCTCCTTTGCTCCTTCAGGAATGACCAGCTTTACACACAGACCTGTTCCTGCTGAGCTTTCCACCTCCCCTGTTGCTGCTGCTTTTTCTACTTCTTCCACCTCAGCTTGTGCTGCTTTTGCATCCTTTCCTGTTTCCTCTGGTGCCACGACAGCCAGCAGCTCCATGTCCCTCTGCAAGGTCACCAGCAGTCAGTGTGGCAGGAGGACCCTTCCCAGGGGACAGCACAGGCCTGTGCAGTCGTAGAGCTGACCTGGAACCTGTTGGTAGAAATGGAGAGTGTGAAGCAGCACAACTGTAAATAAGTGCATTTTCCAGTGTAACTATAAGTGGACCAGCAACAGGTCCTTGAGCCAGCAAGGACTGTTTCCCAACAGTCTGCATTTTCTGTACAGGCCCAGAGCAAGAGCCTGGGACCAGTAGCACTTGTGTGGTAGCACAGCTTTGACTGTCACAACCCAGTCCCATGTTCTCCTGTGGGCAGCAGCCAGTTTCACAGGCTGAACTGAGCCCAAGCACACAACTGTGTTCCAAAACACCTCAGTGCCTCGTATCAGGTGGTTTGTGTACCATTTGGAGACAAACAGGAGAACAAAAGGAAGGCGACTCTTTCCCAAGATCCACTTTGCTTAATATCCTAGGGGAAAAAAGCTTTCTCTACAGAGCAAATAGCATGGAATCTGGGGAACATGCAAATCAGACATGTTTTTTCGAACTGTCATACCCCGTTGAACTTCCTACAAAAACAATCATCCCCACAGGCAGGGAATAGCAGGATTGGGTCTTCTCCCAGAGTTTCTGCCAGTGCATCTCACTTCTGCCTGCACCTGCCTCCCTGCTGCAGTCTGTGCTCCCCATACACACCTCGGCTGTTGGGCTTCAAAGTCTCTGCAGTCACACATAGTTTTTAGTTTACATGTTCCTCCCAATGCCGTGGTAGGTACAGGTGAAATTTTGACAATCATTCATTCAAATCAAAGTTCTGGTAAATACGCAAGGGGCACTGTTAGAGGATATGCATAACTGTCTAATATACATGTATTAATCAACTTCTGTATTAGAAAGATCCCCTACCAAATGTAGCTGCTGTCAATTCAAAACACAGAGGCTACAGTGAAATAAATGAGTAGTTCCCATAATAAACTGTGAAAGGAGTTGTACTGTAGGTGCTACTCGTCCCTTGTAATACCTACTCCAGCATAGAAGTCAGGATAAGTCTGAGAGGTGATGCTGGATGGACTAAATTTTATGAATTCAGAGCACAAGTTAAGGAGTCAGAGCCATTCAATCTGCTCATATTCACTGGCTTGGGAAAAACAAAAATCACCATTTGATTCACTCTCCCACGTTTTGCCCCATCTCTCCTACAGAGCCCAGCAGATGTGAATACACAGCAATACAAAGGGATTCCTGTAGCATGGAGGCATCCTCACGCTGGCTGTAACCCCACCAGCACAACACCAGGGTTTGGCACAACTCACAACCCCCTGCACACCTCCATGGGCAGTCCCAAGAAAAGGACAAGTAACGCTTGACAGATGTGCTGAGCAACTGTGATCGGCAGGGGACCCCGATGCAAACACACGAAGGATACTGGCTGTTCCCAGCTCACACATGCTCCACAAACCACTGGCAAGGGACTTGGGAAGGCCTGATGAAATAGTGATGACACCACTGCTCAATGCTGTTTAGCAGCAGTAATTAAAAAAAGAGGAGGAAAAATAAGGTGGAAAGTTATAAAAGGACAGGATGGAATAAACAAGAGGCGCTGTGGTTGAAGAAAGAGGGAAATTATAAAGAAAAAAGGTAAAAGGAGAGCAGAGAAGTCAGGAAGGAAAAACTGGAGACAAGGGAAGCAGGTTGCAGATTGCCACTGGTAAGAGGAGAGATCAGGAGTTGAAAGCCACCTGAAGCGCTCTGCCACACACACCTACATCCTTGTGGACACAAGTCAGTCACTTGCTCATGCCACTGAACAAGCTACCTGCATATCTGCTTCATTAAATAGTAACCCTGTAGGTCTGCTGACAAGAACATACTTCTCTCTCCTTTGGTAATTAGCCCTGAAGGCTGGTCACGCTCACTGGCCATGAAACGCTGCAACAAGCAGCCTTTTCATGCCTCGAGCTTTACCTTTGTCCCTGTCTGTTCCCATCAGGCTGGTAAAGTTAGGCACGATGCCTGCCTGACACTGGCGCTCCCCGGCAGCGTTCCTGCTCTCGGCCCGCCGAGACGGGCGGAGGTGTCTCTCAACAGGGCAGATATGAGCTCGCTGGCACAGGCGGCCGGTGACCGCAGAAACCGGGAACTTTCAGCCTTTTCCTCCTGCTCGGAGAGAAAAAAACAAAAGGCAGACCCGGCAGCAGCTATTTGCTGCCAGTCAGCTTGAGACAGCTGCAATTTGATATGCTGGGAAGAGGAAGGGTCTTACGAGGCTCCAGAGATACAGGAGAGGAAGCACAGAGTTTTGTCTCAGGACCTGGACAGGAACTGGAGGCTCAGCCCTTCTGCAGGAGGCTGGGCACGCTGTTTGCTCAGCAAACCTCACCCCAGGGCTGAGCAGCTTTCTCTCACTTATGCCACCGAGGTAGGAGTTTGGTACCCACTGAATGTGCCAGTTGTGACACAGCTCTGACCCCAGTCAGTGATACAGTCGTAAGAGAAGTAAGAGACCCAAACCTATTTTAACAAACATAAAATGCCTCCTGAAATTCCTGCAATGTGGGTTGAGTTAAGCTAAAGCTGACATGAACTCACAGTGTATAGGATTAAAATGGTTTTGGTTTTTTTTAGTGTTTTTTTTTTTTTTTTTTAATTTACTCTTCTTGTCAAAAAACAAAGGAGGCAGGTTACAAACACTCCTTTCAAACCCATTAGGAGCCTGAAATGAAGCATGCATAGCCCAAAGCTTTAGCTTTATGATCATATTTCCCCTCCAAAATATTTTGGAGATAAATTCCAGGCACCTCAGCCTGGAGAACCTCACCGGAGAACAGTGCAAAGATTAAAACCATACATCTTGCCAGTAATTCTGGGCAGCTGGTTCCAGCAGTGAGACCACGGACCTGGGAATGAACCTTCTGCTGTGCTCTGACTTGAGATAAGACCTTGAGTAAGTCCCACCTTCCTCTCTGGTCTGTGGTCCCTCTACTGCAATAGTCTGCAGAGGTGATGACTGAGAATTAGCAAAGGTTATTCCTCATTTTGTAGTGACTATGGTCTGGTCACTGCAAGTATGATTTTTCAGGAAGCTTGCTGCCTGCACAGTTTTTGTATATGTACATATTAGCATTTTGACCCACATTTGCATGGGGGTCAATTTAACCTCATAACCTCCAGTTTAACCTCATAAATTGCTTCTAAGCCACCAGAACATTACCCAGGAGAGCAGGCTGGCAGGATTTCGGATCAAGCCACCCCTCAGCTGCACCACACTGTCAAAGTCCACCACCCCCTGCCCAGGTCACTTCGATGCCAGACCTGCACTCTAAGAGCATTCCCAACCTGACATCCTTTTTCTGAGCACTCGCATGTCTGGCTCAAGATTGCCATGTAGGTGACTCACTTGTGCTGTACAAGCCCCACTCCTTCCACCAGAGACCATTCCAAGGTCTGTTTTCTGCTCTGCACATACTCCATTCCTTCAGGGAAGTGGTTTGAAAAGCCCCTCGTTAAAACCTCTCCCGCCACTTGGCACCCATGTAATTTGCCCCTAGCCCATTTGTTCATGTCTGACTAATGTTCATTGCTTCAAAATGAGTTTGAAGCTAATGCTGTGTCTCCCAATTAAATGTTTGATGGAATGACAGCAAAATCAAAACAGACAGAAAAAATATTTCCCTTTGATATGCTGACCACATTGTACAAAACTCACTATTATAAGACTCTGGTTGCTTAGAATTTTGCCCGACTTTAATCTTTTGAATTAAAGCTTTCCATGCTGGTTGTCTGCCCTGGCTGGAATTCAGGGTGAAAATTTCAGCTAATGCAGTTCATCCACTACAGGAAAACTTTTTACCCCAGTTAAAAGAAAAACAACAAACAACTGATATCTCTTGCAAGCTTTTAGTTGAATAGTCTCAGTGCTATAGTTTGGAGCACTGCTTTAAATTTTGGCAGGAAGGTCACAATGGTGCCAGGGAATAATTTTTTTACGGGAAGAGTAATGGAGCTGTGGCCAAGCTAGGAGCCCTTGAAAAATCAGTTTGCATATGCTCTGTAGTGATTTGTGATAGTTAGGCAGCAAAAATATTTTTCAAAGCCCTGACTTCACAAATTGAATATTCTTTTTGTGCAGTTTTGGTTGTTTTTTTTCTTTTTCTTTCTTTTTTTCTTTTTTTTTTTTTTTAATGTAATCTATAAAAATAGCCAGTGACCTTTAGTGACATCTAAACAGCCTCCCAGTTTCCTTCCATGGTCTGAAGGCTTAAACAATAGCCCCAAAGAAATGACTCAATACCACATACACATGTACTTGATGCCTGGGAAATTGCTGGTTGCTGGTCAGCAGGAACAAGGAGATTCACACAGTTCCAATGTGTGGCAGGTTCAGGCAATTTGGGGAGTTCAGGCATGAAAGGTCTGAGATGCAGGAAGCCAACATCCCCCCAAGCACCACTCTGCACACCAAGCAGTGTGAGGATGCCCACAAGTTTTGAGTGAGTTGGGATTCCATGGGACTTGCTGGATGCCCTCACCAAGCTGGCAGTGTAATGCTTTTCATGTGCTTTCCATGAGCCTCCCAACTTCTTAGTACAGGTTGCTGAAGTCTTTCAGCATGGCAGTATGAAGGATTTGTGCTCCCAAACCAGTATATTCCTTTAGGTAGGGCAGGAGCACTAAATTGCCCTCGTTATAAAAGGAGGAGCAAATTTCAGAATCCTATTAGGCAAAATTCACCTGAAACCAGGTTTTAACAGCTACATGTGTAACCTCAGCCAGAAAGAAACCTTCAACAGCTCAGCTGGGAATTGTTGCCTTTAGACCACAAGCAACATGTTTGAAACCTGAGAAAGGAAATATGCAGGTTTCTGAATAAATCAGGATTCTGGAAGTGGGGTCAACCTTCAGGCTGACAGCCACAACATGGCAACTGCCAGTGTTCAAGGAAAGTGGACAGTTTGCAAGTGACAACTTCAGGGTTGTCGCTCTGAAACCCATGTGTCCTAAAGAACTTCTTTTCTTTATACCTGCCAAAGCTGCTATTTACCCAACATAGCCATAGCATTGGGTCATTAAACAATAGTGATGGCAATGCCCAGAGAACTCCAAGCACCTATTGTACTATCACTGAATTCCTCCTTTGATCACCATGGTCAGAAATATCTGATTTTTATCACTCTTTAATAGCTCCCAATCAACTTTAAGAAGTTACCACAATGCTCATGGTAGAACCTTTGTCAGACCAGGGTAATCATTGACAAAACCAGAACAGCAGATCTCACTAGCTCCATGTTGTCAGTCATATGTGACCTTCTCCATGGACTCACAATCCCAGGGACAGAGTTCGAGCTTCCACGTTGAAGACTACTCTGCCTGTGTCAGAGCAAAAAGAGCTGAAAATATAAACCCCCTTTTTCCGATCTTCCTGCAAAAGCCCAGAGAGATTAATAGGGAAGAAAATTTGAAGCGCATTTGAGCAATTTCAGAAGGACACACACTCCTAAGCATGAAATAGGAACTTCCATGTTCATATGTTGCTACTGGATCACTCAAGAGAAACACATCTTTCCCATACTCAAGACACAAAAAGACTCTTTCTCTGTACAATTCTGCCACTCTTCATCTGTGTGCCAGATGATGTTTACAAATAGCAATATTCTGTAGTCACTGTTATGACCTCGAGATACCTGCACTCACCATTCTCCCCCTCTGTGGTTGTCTAATTGACAAGTATCTAACAAACCCTAAGCAGCTGCTTATTCAGCACATGCGTAGCACTGACAGCTTTTGTTTCAGATTTGGAGGGCCCCTGTGCCCTAAGGTTTGCCTCAGCTCTCCGGCCATACTGCTCTAATAAAAGACATTATTTCCACCTACAAGCCTTGTCCAGCAGTAATCAGAGAAATGTATCTTGTCTGATTCCAAAATTTGTCAGTCGAAAGGAAATGAAAACCCAGTGCTCTGATGAACGATTCTGAAAACAAAACGGTCAAAAGAAAGGAATCTGAAATCAAGTTTACAAATTCCAAGAAATTATAGAAGTTAATAATATTTTACAAATTTCTGTTTTCTCAGTGTAGACAATGTTGTTCTTGAGAGGCTTGTTCTTTCAAAGCTCCTAAGAAACCCTCAAGAACCAAAAACACTGTAAGTGAGCTTTAGGACTAAGACTTCTCTAGGAGAAGGAGACACACACCAACACCCATAACTGCTTGTTTTAGTGCAAACAAAAAGGGTTATCTTTGGGTTTGGATATATTCTATGAAAATAATGAAGATTATAACCCAGTTGCAACGTATTTAATGAATCTCAATGAACAAATGACAGGTCACTTCAGCAGAGGAAAGAAGAAATTTGCAACAACCATTTGAAGGGGGAACATTTTTAAGTAATCATAAGTTATGTAATTACATGATTAATGCCCTAGTTTGTAGGTAGTCAAAACTTGGCAATAATACATATAACAACATGTCTAATCAAACTCTCTAATGCGTAGGTGTAACCCCATATTCAGATAAGAATTTCTCTCTTTATTACCTACCTGGTGATGTACAGTGGGAATTCTTGGATTGACACTAAAGCACCAGACATTATCTAGAGGCAATACACTGGATTCAAGGGGCAGCTATATCAGCCAGCTTGGGTGACTTTCTAAAGGGTTAAGCAATAATGGGAATTTACAAGATTTGCGTGTTCCCAAGGAGTGAGGGAAAAAAGGTAAAATGACATACTTCTAAATTAAACTTTTAGAATAGGTGCATTGGTATAAGCAACTTAGGGAATATGAAATGAAAAGCATAGAGTATATGCACCCTCCCAGGACAGCAGCTGGGTATTCTGGTGGAAGAATTGGTTTCCTGCATCTAACACATGCACACATTCATGTCCCTCAGTTACAGATCCAGTTACTTTATCTTGTATAGTTTATGCAATCATAAGAACTTTCATTCTCCAGTGTATTTTGGGAATTCTGCAGACTTTCAGTGCTCCTACTCAAGTCAGCCATGCAACCAGATGATTAAGCTAAGTTCCCTTAAAAGAAAATCTTTATTTAATACTCAAACAAAAACATGGAGCTCAAAAGCATTAAAGTGTTATTTAATGATCATTATGGGAGTATGAGAGCCAGATGCAAGCTGTTCTGTGCTGTCCAAGCTCAGCTTCACAGGAGTGATGCTTTGCACGACGTAACCCCTCCCAGCAAAAAGACTGACAGCACAGAGTAGCTCCACAATGGTTGTCGAGGTTGAGTCTTTGACTCAGTGTAGAGCCAGGGAGAACATCCATCTCCTCTTGCTCTGGGTAGGACAGTGGGACCAAACTCCTTCATTAAATCCTTAACAAAAGCAGCCTTGTGTTACATCATCCACTAAATTACATCCATCGTTCATTGCACCAAACTGCAGTGACTCACAGAGCTGCTGTTGGGCTCTGGTTCTTTCCACTGAAACCGCTGGGCATCTTGCTAAGTAGAAAATGGGGAAAGGCCTTGGCTCATGCACATACTGTAAGGCAGCCCAGTCCATACAGAGTATGCACAAAGAAAGAATAATTGAAACTTTTCCAGAAAGCAGCTTAGAAATCAATGTCTGTTTACTTGTTAACCAATAAAAAAAGTTAGGGATAATAAAGAATAAACACTCATTCTCTCTGCAAAACCTTTATAGAATATATGGATGCACCAAGCTTTTAATTCAGTGAGGTCTAATTACTGAAAAAAACAACTAGCCAGTCCATGCTCAGACTCTCAGAGGGGCACCTGAAAAGCTCTCCTCTAATCACCACATTGCATTAGAGAAGCAGAGTTGGAAAAATTCAGGCAAATCCCTTCTGGATTCTTAGATTCTCTAATCCAATCCTACCATCTACTGAAAAATTATGGTTTTGAAGGAAAAGGACCTGTCTCCCATCATGAAAATTTCCTCCAGCATCTGAGCTGAGCCAAGTGCAAATGAAACCTTGAACCTATGCCCAGAATGATCATCAAGAACTGAAACTTTCAAATTAGGACAATATAAAAGATGCCAATAAAAATTTCTGTACTGCAAGCCCTCTTCTGATGTATAAATCTTGCCCCACTTCCCTTCCAGCCCAGATAAAACCCTGGGGAGACCCCACTCACGGCATTTCTGACACAAGCCAGGGAGTAGTTGAAATTACAAAAGACAGTTCTCAGATCAAAGAAATCCACCTCCATTTGCATGAAGTTTTAGATAAACACACACACAAAAAATTAAAAGTTCACTGACAGACTGACCCTTTTCTGCAGTCACCCTCACACAAATCCTGTATTTGCTGTTTGTCTTGATGGGTGGTAAGGTCTTTAGGGCAGGCACCAGGACTTCCTATGCATTAGTAAAATGCCAGCACCATCAGCCCCTGGTTCTAAATGGAGTCTGTGTGTCCTGCCACAATATAAATAAAACTCATAACCCATCCAAGCTCTAACACATGACTTCATGGTGACCCTCCCCTCATCTGTCCATGCTGCTCCAAGTTACTGAGGTCAAATTTAGTGAGGTTTAACATGTGAATCATACATGGTATGTCCAAATGATCAGAGACTGGGAAACAAGACACATGATCAGGTCATATCAGAACAAAATGGAAAAATTTATAACAGAACTCATCTCTCTCTCTCATTCCTCCTTTGCTTTAATCACCAGATGTTCTCTATCCAACTACCTGCTACCCTCTCTGAGATTTAAATTAGACACAAAGTACTCCCAGAGACATGATCACAGCACAGAAAGGTTATAGGAGAAATACACTTTTGCCTTGGCATCCTATGTCTGGTAAAAGATATGAAAAGAACTAAAAATCCTGTGATGACAAGCCAGCTTCGGGCACCCTAACTAAGAGCTCAGAAATCTCATTCTTTTTCTTGTATTAGAGCGAGCAGCTTCACAAAGACTCAAACCCTAGATTATCTTTGGGGTTATTGTGAGGTGACTGTGAAGCTTTCTCGTCAGGCTGCCAGTGGGGGGAAAAAAAAAAAAGCTTTCTGAATCAGGCCCTTATCATTTATACCACATTACAATCCAAAATGAAAAATGACTTGCTCCAGATTTGATAGAATAAAGCATCTTGAGATGCCATAGAAGTACCCAATTTTCAATAAAGACATTAAACCTAAGCCTCAAAAAAAAAAAAAAGGGAATAATTACATCGTTTTTTGCTTTGAGTTCTAATGTTAAAAGTGTCAATTTATACAACTAGGTGAACATCCACAATTCCTAAGCAGACTGCAGCTAATTAGCCCCCTTTTGATCTTTTATTTTGCCTAGAAGCTTATTTAACAACTTTACACAAAACTCAAGGTTTTGACACACTAGTGGACTGGGGGAGGGGGGGAGACAGAAAAGAAAATTCTTCTCTGCTGCTTGCTAAGGTGGGAGACCCATCCTTTCCTGAAGCACACTTGCTGTCAGCAAACCTGGGAAACTTTCTAGCCATGAAAACAACTGCTTCTTATTTGAGCTGTCTGGATGGAGATGTAATAGAGAACAAAATATTAAAAACTAAATCAAAGCACAGATCAAGTTGTTACTAATGCCCTGAGCCTTACATGCACTATTTCTGTATGTGAATTAGTGGTTTAGTTGAAGGATCACAAAACACCATGACTCCAGAGCCATGGGATGGGTCACCTTTACCTGCTACTGCAAATAAACTGGTCACTGTCACTGTGAGTAACCAAAAGGACTGTACAGCCCAGAGAGAGGAGGGAACTGCAGTTTCCTGCCTGAGCAGCATCCATCTACCCTTCAGAGGGAATGTCCCTTTTAGCCCTCCTTCCCATGAAGAGCTGACATGAAAATAACCATGAGGGCCAGGTGACAGAATAACCACTAGGGCTTGGGCACTCATCATTTCTGCAACCACATCACATCTCCCTCCTTTCTATAGGAGAGACAGACCTCCATCTCTCCCAGGAACTCACCACAGCAGCAAACTCAGGATTGTTAAGGGCGAAAAGCTCCTTCTCCTGTCCTGAAATGAAACAATATCATTAGACTTGAAGGACCCAGGTGACTGGGTCCATGCGCACGGACAAAAGCAAAGGACACAAACATCTTTGGCCCGCAACAAAACTGAAAGAGGATAACCCTGCCTGGGCATAGCAGTGGGTGTCTGAAATCTTTCTCAGAGGATGAGAGTTTTGCAGCATCCATCTATGTTGCAGCAGGCTTCCCACTTCCCTCGGGTGAGGGACAGCCCTGAAAGCAGGAAGCCAGGCTAGGAAGTAGGACATGGAGAGGGAATGAGCTGCTTCAAACAGCATAGCTGTGTCTGCAGTAACATGCTGCTGTCTGCAAGCTGATCCCATTGAACAGGGAGCTGGACAGATTTGAAACAACCATAACCATCTCGATTTGCTGATTCAGCTGTGTTAATCCTCTCACTAACAGACTTGGAGCCTGGTCTAAACCTCAGTCCAATGTTAGTAACATACTCCCAGTGTTGTCCTGTCACCACTTACCTATCTTCGGTCTTGAGGTGGGAAAGTCTATCTAAGATTCTCTGTTCAAGCAGGAATAAACATGCTGATTTCATGTTTAATAGCTCCCACTGAGCTATTAAAGCCTCCCCACACCCACTCCACACAGCCCTATATCACCCAGAGGACCCCAGTACCAGGCTGTGCTCCGAGTCCCCCACCCTAGACTCACAACCAGTAAGCTTAAAACATTACCTTCAATTTCCTGAAAAATTGCCCCTCCTCACCCAGTTCCAAGGCTGTCCTGGCTTGCAACTTCACTTCCTTTTCTCCTCACTCTCCTCCAGGTGCATCAGCTGAATGAGGGTTCAACAGAGGAAGGGAAGAAGGAAGTGATCAGAGATGGTACCTGCACAAGAGCAGCAGAGCTATTTCACCCCTCACACTGCGCATCGCTATGTTAATGATTTTAAAGAAAACCATTTGCAAAGCTAAAAGCTTAATGTAGGAACAAAAATCAATACTGTGCTCAAGAAAGTCCCCTGATGCTGGAGAGTTTAAAGCATCATTCAGGTAGACAGCACTGGGACATTCCCTCTGGTAACGACTGCCCAGCAGACCATTAGAGAGGGGAGGCTGCTTTAATTTATGCTCTTTGTCATTCTAATATAGATCTTTCCTTTTCAAGTGGTGTTTGTACTTTATACTGCAATCTGGATTCAGAAATAGAGCAAGTCCTAAAAGCTAGGATCAATATATCCGACATCACCTTTCAGATGGGAGGCAGAGAGAGCACAGCAAAAGGGCCAAATGCCCTGCTGGCATAAGCAGTGAGTTCCTTGATGCTGCAGTTTTGCCATTTAAATTATGAGTCCAAGTATGGACTTGAACCTAGTTAACTAAACAAAAATTAAAAAAGGAAATTAAAAAAAAAATCACCTTTGATTCCCCAGAACTCCCTGCAAATAAACTCAAGCCTTTTCCAAATGTTCATAATTTATAATGTATCATTACTATTAACACTGGTAAACACTGTCGGGATGCACAAACTGAGCAGGGAGCCTGACCTACCCAAGGTGACAAGCCAAAGAGAGGAGCCAGCTCACCTCCCTGCTGCCCATGCTCCCTCTGGTATAGAGGAATACATCCTCCTTTCCCAATTTATTACCAAATTACATGAGAATTTTAAGTAATTTACCTGGAACTACCCACAGGCAAAACAGTAAACATAAAGGCTCCTTTTACCTGCAAGGACAAATGCTGTTTTGAGGTAAAAAAGCAATTCTTTGAATCTGCAGAAAGGATGATGCCTGGTTCCAGAAGAAAACTTCAATGCTGAGAGTCTGGTCTGTCTCTCTTTAAGAAAGGATTATTCCCAAGGTTTGCTTGTTTGTTTTTGTATGCCAGACTCCTGCCCTCTGAGCCGAGGTGGAGCATAGGAGGGCATTTCCCTGCCTTGGCCACAGTGGGCTTGAAAATCTTCCTAAAGGCAGCAAGCTTAATAAACAACAGCAAACAGTCCGACAAACCTTCTCCTTGGGTTCCATTAAAAAAGGAGCAGAATGAAGTGGATTGAAAAAAAAAAAAAAGCCACCACCATCCCCCCTCCAAAAAAAACTGGAGGGAAGATTTGGAAAAAGTGACCTGTCAGTGTTCCATTTTGCCCCTGTATGTCAATGAAATTTTTAAGAATTTACATGTGGGGAAATTTCAGAATGAAAACCAATGCATGCAGGCAAGTCTCATGCAGATGTAACAGTTAAACAAGAACTAGCTCTAGAGAGTTTATAGACACCAGGATGACATTCAGGTACAGAAGATGATCTCCAAAAGTTGCAGGGACAAGTGACAGGTTAGTGCACAGTGTACACTGTACATGAAGTACAAGGGTCATCCCTGGGTACTCTGAGCTGTCCTTGTAACCCAAGATCATTCATGCATCCTTAGAGAGTGTGCAGCAGGCACAAAAACTTACCTATAACTTGCTTTTTTCTGACCTAATTGATATAGGTTTCTCAATTTCACATTGCCCTAAGGGTCAGAGATACTTTCTACTTCTATTACATACAGATGCCAGATCCATATAGCTCTATTCCACAAGGAAGAAATCCCCAAGGATTCCAATTGTTTTAAATGAAAAACCTAACCAAATGAAAAACAAACCCTTTTCTGCCACCTACTCAACAAGCACATGCAACCTACCAAAACACACTGCTGCTAATGCTTTGCAGCAACACTTGCTCAACACCAAACAAAAGCACCTAGAAGTCACCAAGTCAGTTGGTAAAATCAAATCTAACATGTCAAAATATTTCAGTTTCACCCAAGCACTCTTGGTTAGTTAGTGCTAAATATTCGTTCCATCTCTTAATCCTTCTGCCAGGCAAGCCAGATTTCCTGCTAGCAAACAAAGTCAAGCAACATGTCTAAGATCACAGAGGAATGTTGCCTGAACTGATATAATAACTAACATCTCATCCCTCAGTCTGTCCTCCTGCAAGGAATGAGGGTCCACTCCTTCAACTTCAGTACATTTCACCTTGGCTTTTGTCCACTGCTTATTCCTCTTATTTCCTTTGTCCTAGAATCCAAACAAATCTGATGGTGCCAACTGAGCTCCTACAAAACAAGTGGTGGAAGAAAGGCATCTCGCTCCCCTAATTCACTGAACAGCTCAGGCAGCCCAGGGCAGTGAGCAGCCACGAGTCCCCTGGGGCCATGCATGGCCCTCAAGGTAACTCCTTGGGGAGAACACCCACCATTTCCCCAGGGAAGCCCCATTCTGCACCTCACCCACTCTCTCTGCTTTAGCACCAAGGCTGGAGCCTGCAGTTCTGTCTTGCTGCACTGTCTCCTGGGTTTGATCCAGTCTCTCAACCCTTTCACTCATTCTTTGGAGCTGAGGTGCACCAGGGAGCATTAGGACACATTTACAAAGCAATGGCTGAGAGTGTCTAGAAAGCTCTATGAGTACAAGCACTTTAGTTTTCACAAGAGAAATATCTACATGGCTGCATTTAGGGAAAGGGTGAAGAAACATCTGTGTGCTCACAGCAGCAGCACAGGCACAAGCTGCAGCTGCGAAGCCCCTTAACTCTGCTGGTGCTGTCTGCTAACTGCTGGCATGAATACAGTAACAGGGCTGCACATATGGCAGGCTGTTTAATTTTAGAAATCAAAACTATTGAGTGATTAAGTTAGTCATCCTTCCTCAATTTGGGACCAATACAACACTACCAGAGGCAGTGGTCATAACCACTGTGGTTTGCGAGAGAGAAAGACGGCGCATGTGTGTGTTCCCGTGGTGGCAGGGAACACCAGAACCCCCGTCCTGCTCTGCCCAGCCTTGTTTTTCAAAGCAGGATCAGACAAAAGCAAGAAAATCCAACTTGAAACAGCCTTCAAATTAAAACGGAGTGCCTGCAGATCTGCACACATGCACACACAGAGCCCCCAGCACCCTCTGGATGGGGTGCAGCAGAACCACTGCCCTGAACACAGCGCTTTCAAAGAGTGAGATTGAAAATAACGCTGAGCCAATTGGCCTCTGGAAGCGAGGTCCATTCAAATAACAGTCAGGGACTTGAATTTCCCAAGGGAAACTAACGAAGAGGGAAATGGGAGTCCAGTTCAGCCAGCACAGCTGCCAGGGTGCCAACATGTCTGGGTCGGGAGTAAGAGCGAGCCGTGTGCTGGGACACTGCACAGATCCATGTCACCAGCTGGTCGAGTCTTACCATGCTCAGCAGCCCAGCCTGTGCCAACACTCACACACCCTCCCCTGGACAGGAGGGGCCTTGATGCATTGCAAAAGCAGGCACTTCCTCCACAGAGCCCAGTGGCTTATCCTCAGATGCAGCACCAGTCGCATCAGGAGGATGTAACCCTGCAAAGCCCACTGGTATCTTTCCCTTCCAGTGAAAACCAAAGAATGAAGAAAGCAAACAAGTCATGGAGGGATTTTCTGTTTCTCTAGACAAACACTCTAAGAGCAGTTCAAAAGAGGCTAATTAAATTCCAAAATCCCTGTGCAAATACATTAATAATGATTTTGAAATGAGCAGTTAACCGAGGAAGTTTTCAAGGTGGGAAGTGTTTGATACAGAAGAGAGTGTGAGGAAGAGCTGCACAGACTATGTTAGAGACAATCTCTCTGGCTAGTATAGATGTTCAGGGGAGTGGGCAAAAGCACATGCTCCCGGGCCCAGGAACAGCAGTGTCCCCAGGCTGGCAAGAGGACAGAGAAGCCAAACCCCTTCATTCCAAATCACCAGGAAGACAAGCAAACACTAAATGGCATGGCCATGAGTCTGAACGATTGCTCCGTAGCCTCACCAAAAAGCTCTTCTTACCCCTTTCCAAGATGGAGGAAAAGCAAAAGACATTTTTTTCTCTCCTGCTGTCACCACAGGAAAATTCCAAACATCAGATAAACGCTTTTCATCTCCCACACAATCGTAGGCAAATCAAGGGAAAGAAAGATAAATCAGTTGCTTGTAACAGAGGTATAACAGTTACTGGTGGGGAAGGGGTTCTCTACAGTCACAAAGACCTTTTGCCTTGTTTTTCTTGTTTCTGCAGCTTGTGTCAATAACTGCACCAATGGAAGCAGTGTATGAAATGCTACTTTTCCAACAGGAATTAGAGTCTGTCCCCCTTGTGCATGAAGCATGAAATGATGAAAAATGGATAACTTGTTATAATTGCTCATATGGCGGGGTGGAAAAATACAGTGCTGTTATATGGTCTGCAGTCCCACGGTTCATGGAACCTCTCAATGTTAAATGCCATCATTCTCACAAGCAAGAAAGGCAATAGTACCATTCTTCAATTTAATGATGGCAAACCAAGAAGAGAAGTGATGTGGAAAAACACAGAAACAAAGTGATACATCTTTGTAAAGTCCTTGGCAGAGCAAGGAGTTAAACCCCACTGGTTGAGGCCCTGAACACCAAGCCACCCCATCTTGGTAAAATCTCCAACCATGGTCACAAGATTACCCCTCCTATGCTTTCCCCCTTATTCTCTGCATGTCCTTGCTCAGTAAAATACAATTATGTTTTTTTCAGGTACGATCTCATGAGATACTGATTCATATGCTTGTTAAAATCCAGACCCATTATACCTCTTTTTGCTTTCATTCACTAATTTTATTGTCCTATAAAATAAAAGATTTTCTGGTGAGATACATTCACTGTGCCGCCACTACTGCTAAAGACACAGCTGCCATCCTCTTCCGGAAACAGGTTTGTTTAGTTCATAAATCCTCATTTCAGTATTTTGCTAAATACAAAAATTACGCATACAGGACAATAAATTCCAGGATCATTCTTCCTTAGGATTTGACAAATAGAACTGCAGTTCTCTCCCCAGCCCTGAGGTACCTCTTTTAAAGAGCAGTCAGCAATCTGATAACTTTAGATAAACCACTTAATTTCCAGAAGGAGCCTTGTCTGTATACACATAGTCCATTGGGTGTTCTCCTGTTCTCCCTGATTGCTCCCTTTTGGGAAGCAGAGGCTTTGGGTGAGTAAACTGGCAGCCTCTGCTTTCTACATCACGAAGTCATCTCATTCAAAATTTAGGAATCACTTTCATAAGGCACAAGAAACTGTGTTACGTACCTCAGCTGCAGTACAAGTGGGCTATTCTTCAGTTCCATGATCTAGGAGAAGAGACTCAACAATTTTTTTACCAGTGCTTTATTTGTACAAAACTAAGAAAGAAAGTGGGAAATAAAGATAGAATAAAAAAAGTACAAAGGATTGTGAGGAACTGGTGTAGGAGAGAAAACAATGAAATAGGAAAAAAACTATGCAGTTTTGACTCATGTTTAAATGCTCCAGAATAGGGTAAAAACGAAAAACCACCAAGGCTGGGTTGCCTAGAGAATGGTGCTATGTAAACATTTCAGGTACCTTCACTGCATAGGCATTTGAACACCTTACAGGTCTGCTCCTAGAGACAACAACCCCTGGCTAAGAGCCATTATACAAGCAGTGAGGTGACAGCTAGGCAGGATGAGCAGTATGGTGAGTATGCAAGCACTCAGCCAGACATCGTGGGATAGCAATGGAAAGGGCTGGCACACGCAGAGCATCAGTTATTTGGGAACAGAGACAACTCCTTGGCTGTGCTAAAGCATGCCATACCTCAGTGAGCCCATTTGCAAGGTAGTTTTCATCATATGCAGTACAGCAACGTCAAATCCCAAGAAACACTTCACTCATCTGCAACATACTGTAATGTGAGAGAACACAGAGGTTACTTGCAACAGACAACAAGCATAAAGAAGTATCTGTTTTAACCAGCTGTCCTTTCTGTTAGAAAAGGTCTGACGTCAGGGCTGAAATGCCTGAAGGTCAGCCAAGTTAGTCACTGGGCCAGAGCAGGGCATCCTGGCTCCTATTCCCTGCTTGGAAGGGTGCTTTTGTCTCTTAGTCAAAAGCAGGTGAACCAGCTTCCTGGTTCAACACTGACTCACTACATAACCTTGAACAAGATGATACACCACACCTTCCCCACGTGGAAATGGTATAATTTACCCATTTCCCCATGCCTGTGTGCGTGGTGCAACTGGTGTCCATATGGTATTTTCAGGTCACCGGCTCAAGGGTGCCAGGTAAGAGCAGAACCTGGATGTTGTATTATGTCCTGAGCTTTATTCTACTCAATGTTAGAGCCTGGGTAAATATACATGAATTTTTTCCAGCACTCCATGAGTTCTTCTGTACAGTAAAGTTAAAGCAAGCAAGAGAGAGAGAGAGAGGGGGAGAGAGAGAGAGACGTTCCCTTTTGATTGGCTGTGACTAGCTGCAATTAAAAACGATAATTTATTACCCTGGATTACGAGTATAATTTCAATGCAGAGAATTAAGGTTTTCTTCTGAGATGGAAATAAAGATTAATTTTTAATTTCCTTTCTCACTGCACATTTAAGAGCAATAGACTCCATAGAAAACTACAGGTCAAAATAGTTTTATGGAGGAATGACAATGTTCCATTGCCGAATAATTTAATGCTCTTGCTGCCTTTTTAATATTTGACTGCAGCTCCCTCATGCGAAACAGCGGCAGCAGACGCTGTACACATTTGCTGCAGCACTCAGGTCAATGTGACTTTGAAACAACAAAGTTTCACTGCTCAGGGCTTGGGCAGCTCTTGGAGTTCCCTGATGCAGGCAGCTGCCTTCCCCAAGAAGGGCACAGGCGGCCTTTCCATCAGGGCAGGCAGCTGGTCTGGGTATGGGAGGAGCAAGGATGGAATTAAAGCTTGAGGGAAGAGAAGGAGACCAGAATGGACTGGAGCCTGGGTGGAATAGGTGCACAGCAGGTGCATCCTAGCTCAGACATGGACAGACATGATCTGATCAAGCAGGAAAAGCATTTCCACCCAGGAGTAGGACAGTAGGACTCAGTGGTTTTGCTTGCAGACAGAGTGTGTTATTCCAGTTTCCACAGCTTATCAGCAGAACACAGGGGAAAACTGAGAAGCATGAGGTCATGAATTCACTTGGTCCTGGACCAAGACTAGGTCACTGCTTGCCACAACTGCTCCCAGCCCCTGGAGAAAACAGCCTGGGAAAAGCTGGGAAATCCACACCATCACACAGTGCTTCTGAGTGACCTGTAAAGAAGAATCCAACACACGAGAAAGATCCTGTGTAAGATGGCAGTTTCATGAGGAATGTCCTCAAAAACGAGGGCAGAAAAGTCACACAATACCATTTTCTCCCTGCAGTCTCTTCTTTCCAATATCAACATATATTCTCATCTGTCCAAGGTTAACTGAACCAACCTCCCATCAGGTTGAGACAGAGCTACAGACTAACATAATGAATTATGAAATGGAGCTTTTATGGGATGAAGGGACCTCAGAAGGTTGCTCTAGGTGGGTAGCATGCAGCAAAGACACGTTTCATCCCAGGCCAGGAGAACAAGACAAGCACTTTTCAGGTTGCCACTGTTCAACTTGAGGAATCAGCTCCTTGCTGTGGAATTGAGCCTGTTTAAGGTGTGAAGGTTTGTTAGATGTATTTATTTCCCTAGATGGCCAGGAGAAGGCAAAAGCTTGATTGCTTCCTGCCAGATTAGGAGATGCCACAAATCATACAAGCAAAATGTGTTCAGACATATTACAATGCCTCCAAAGGAACCCAGAAGTCTCTACACAAACTATATCTCAACCTTTTCATGTTAAGTCTCAAAATAGAAAATATAGCTTCCCATAACCCTCACTGCCCAGGCAGCATGACTGCTCTGAGTCTGCTGCTTCTGCAGGGACAGCTCTAGCCACTTTAAGTGTATCTGCTGATACCAACTCAGGAAAAGACTTCTCAAAGCTCACAGGCAAAATCAAGATGAGTAGTTATTTGGGAGGCATCTAGAGAAAACACAGAAACTGAAAAAATTAGGGTAACAGAATATAGAGTGCCTCTTCTTTCTGGTTAGGACTGGTCCCTAAAGTAAGCCTCTTACTCAGTGTGAGAGTTTAGAAAGGAACTCCAGCCAATTACAGTTACTGGAGCTGCCCCAGCACTTCTTGCAGCACGGGTGACAAGTAACACCTGGACTGATTTCTACCTCAGGTATTTATCATGTCCTAACACCTTACAGAATTCTCTGGAGACTTCCTTCACTGTCTGTCCTAAACAATTGTCCAGACATTGTTCACTTTAATCAATCAAATATCTATTCCCTTGTGGCTGCCTTTCAGCAGTGACCGTAGCACTCACTAGCTGCAACAAGTTTTCTTCTGATGGCTGATGACTCGCAAATCCTGCAGAGGGGATACACACCTGTCTGGATGCAGCCAGACTTTGGGAGGGCCCAGCTTTATTCAGCCCAAAGCACACTGCATTTTGGTGAGTTTTTCAGAAGTACTTGACCCTCCACTGCTGGGATGCTTGGGGCCACTTTTGCTAAATACCCCAGATCTTTGGACAGTTTGGAAAGTCTGGGCTCCAGTTTTGGAGCTCCATGGAAGCAAAGGAGACACGGAACCACCAGCTACAATGGGAGCATCTTTACTACAGACATTCAACATCAGCCCTGCCTCTAGCAGCCCACCCTGGTATAACCATCCTGAGTGCAAAGACTGGTATGTGTCTCCGGAAATGGAGTTTAGATGTTTGTCTTATCTGAACAAGTTCAGTGACTGAACATGCTGCACAAAGAGCGAGAGCAACCCCGACAAAGCAACTGCCACCTCCTTATCACGGTCTCCAAAAGGACTGAAAAGAATCAAGCGTCAGAGACTTATCTCTTGAGAGATGTTCAGCACCCATGCCTGGCTTACCAATCAGCTCTAACTCCCTTTTTCACTAGAGTTCTTCTGCCTTGTTTTTGGCCACAGGGTACAGCCTTGCCACTTCCTGAGTGTGGAGGAGTTGTGAGGGGAAGGGGGGTGAGGAGGATGGGCCCTTTTGCCCATGCTATTGTCTTGTACTTCTGGACAATGGGATGTTTTTACCCATGACAGTTTTACCGTTGTGATAACCGTAACAAATGTCCATCCCAGTATCACAGAAAGCTTCTGAAGTTCTGTGTGATGACAATGAAAGGGAGGTCAAGGACAGGTTTCCTTGAGGCCACGTTAACTTGGAGTCCTTCTGGCCTTGCACCCAGAGCTCAATGTGGGGTCCTGCTGCCAGTGCCAGCTGTGTCAGGGAGAAGTGCTCACCCTGAGATGGGAGAGCACTCTTGGTTGTGGCGTACTGCCAACTCCATGTGAGCCTTTGGGGTTATGGTGTTACACAGCAAGAACACAGGCATCAAACGTGTCACTCCATGATAGTGGGTCACATCTGCCAATTGACCTTTCTACATTTTAGTGCCCAGAAACAATGGCTAAACTCCTTACAGGTCAGAAGCTGTAAACAACAGGTTGGGGTTGATCCCATACTAGCCCCATTTGAGATGCTGTTATGATGGCCATAGTTATAACACTCAAGTCCTGACATTACCCATATTCAAGATGTTAAAAATTAAAATGCAGAAAACATCAGCTCCAGAGAAGTAGGATTCTGATTTTTACACTCAAATCCTCAAGTATCCTAAACAAGGTCAGAACAGCATCTATCTCCACTTGCTATTGTATCTGATCTCCTTTCATTGCCTCATCTCAAGTTTTCAAGTTTCTACAAGCAAATATGTTGATTTATACAGAACTATAACCTAATATACATGCTTTTGAGACCACTCTGAGCTTTGATATTTCTTAAACAAGAACTATTTTCTTATTGTGTGTGACATTCCAATGGCAGAAAAGGTACACAATTATCATCATACTTTATTCTCAAGACCACCAGCACCTCTCTCCTCAGAAGCTCAAGGTCTAAGGCCAGACATCATGAGAAAGATGGCACAAATATCAATATCACTGCTAGTTTACAGGGCTATTCTTACTTGTCATTTGCCCACATAAGCCTGGGGTGACAGCAGTGTGTAAGGACTGGGCAGAGCTAGAAGACCTGCAGCCTGGACCAGCTTTGTTCCTACCTTCTTGCATGCAGTCCTGAGCAGGTCACCTTACCCCTCGTGCTCACCCTCCCTCTGCCCAGCTGTCTGCCCTGGCTATGACTGTCTCAGGTTATTTGCAGCAAGGCCTATCTCCCCAGGCATATTCTGTATCTTGTTCAGTGAAGCCCTACTATGACCTAAGCACTTCTCTGAAACATATATTCAATAATTACATGAAACGAATGCTAACCTCTTGTGCAAATATCTCCATTTTCCTATTAAAAAAATCTTCCCTCCAGAAAACACACATAATCAACACGAATGTCTGCCTGTAATCATGCAAGGTTGTATTCACAGCAGATGATGTTTACTGAGAAGTCTCACTGAAGGAGCTTTGCACAGTTAAAGTTCTTTTATCAGACATTTCCCCCTCTCATGCTGTCCTCAGCTTAACATATATAATGGGGGTTGGAGGGGAGGTTTCAGCTGCCAGATGATAATATCTAATACTTGAACCCTTTCTTCCATGCTTCCAGTTTTGGAGGTTTGGCACACCGGTCATCATGAGCTCAACTTAGCCCATGGCTTCACCTCAATCTGTACAGGACAGAGTGGAGTTCCACAACAGTTGCTCAAAACTCTCCAGTAACAGTACCAGAACTTAAGCTATAATAAAAACTTCCTGGCTATTTGTCATTAGGCTTTTTCTGTGGGAGGATAAAGACGAGGACACACTAGGTGAGACAGTGCTCCTCTCCATTGCTTCCCATTTAAATCACA